TAGAACAGCTGGTTTACAGGCAGTTTAAACGGAAATGTTGCCGAAGTAAAAGAGGCTGCCGACAATAGTCACACTCACCTGAGAAGTTTGGAGCGCCTTAATAACGTTTTCAAACCGTTTTGGACAGTGTTGTTGGTTGGAATGGATAGAGTAGCTAGCAGCAGATGAATGTAAACAAACAGACACGTCATATGTGTGCGTGACACTGAGAAAATGCTAATAGAAGTGCGGAAGCTGCTTAGATTGACGAGAATACGTAAATTCCCCTATGTATTGTTGGTTGAGAATTATTCCAGTGATATCCTTGAGCAGCGTTTTGGATAATTCTTTTTTATTTCTTAGAAAAGAAGACTGTTGTTTGTAAATAAAGTCATTTGTTAATTTAATCAACGAGATATAGAACAAATTCATCAACATGCTTGATAATCGTTTCCAAATTACAACGATCAGTATTCAGCCACTGTTGAAAGACAACATCTTGTTTCTCATTTGATTCTAATAGCAAAGTAAATTCCTCTTCAATATGTTCATTGGAAGCACACTTTTCATAAGCACGGAAAAAGCGATCAGTTGTTTTTGTTGAAATATTACAATGCATTTTTTCTATTATTGTATCTTGTGACATAATTCTTAAACTTTTGATCATTTATTTTACATTTTCATAAATTTTACAAATACATACATTATGGATTCCAGTAGAATCAAGCAAAATGCAATGTTTTGGTCGCAATTGTGTAAATACAGTGAAACCAATATTAATATCTTTATATTTATCAACAAAAATCATGTACGCTTCTTTGAGGGACATCATTAACAGTCGTTTTTAAACGTTTTCTTTTCGTCTATTTCTTAACCCGGAAACAAAATCATTTGTTCCGGGCATAGATCTACTAATATCATTGTAATCAAAAAATTCCCTAACTATTTTTTTTTTTTTGTATCATCGTTGATCCCATGCCCACTTCTTTTATTGGGTGTGCTAAGAATACCCTGCTCATTAACAAGGCTCTTCACCTGCTTTACCATGTACGTTCGTGCGTTGAATTCTGCTACGACTTTATTCACGGACAAAGACTTTGGCAATACTGATAATACTGTTATCTGATCTTTTCTGTCAGCTGTAGGGGGAATTGAACTTCTCCTTTAGCTACACAATCATTTCTACGTATGCCTCTACTTTGCTAATGTCTGCTGTATCTTCCTCGATGAAATTGGAGATAAATTCAACGTTTCCACAAAGCCATTGAACTTCTCAACATTGTATGGGCGTTGCATATGCTGATGGAACTGACTCCAATGATGGAACCGATAGTACCGTATCTGGAGGAAAGAAGAAAAAAAAAAAATAATAAGTTCTATTAGGATTTTGCAGTTAAAACTTGATAGAATCATCAGGATGACTGTTCTTACCTAGCTCATCTACGGATTGATGGCCACTCGTTGATGGATCTGGATCATCACTATGTTGATGGTTGGATATTTAGGTACATCATTTCCAACCGATCGGCGTTTTTTCACAACTGGACTTCTATTATGAGATATCACGCTACGGCATGACTCACAAATGCTCATCGGTGGGCGTTGGCCAAATTTGGATTTTTCAGATATAATCCTAAATAGGACCTGGATTATTTAATACTCTACCCAACAAACAATTCAAAGTCACAAATAAGCATACACATTGAATAAATGCTGTATAACAGTGTACAATGCTGAATAAAACAGAATGTCGAATTACGTGCTGAAAAAAGCTCATCGAGATCGATAGATGCACCTTTATTCCGCCGTTTGCTCTGATCTGATTAATTTACTTATTAAAAGCTTTATAAACGTTGACTGTCTTCCTGATTCAGAACCAGAAGTTTGATCTTATAACAAACTGAATAAGTGTAATTTGCACATACATTGTCGCTTTAATTCGGCTGTTTTCAATTGCTTTAATAAAATGCTTTATTAGACGTCTTATAAATGTTTTCTAGCTCTATTATTAGATTTCATTGCATTCCTTTATAATATTGCTGTATAAAGGTGAATACAGTCAGCAAAATAGCTCTGGTACCACTATGCGTCCATGTTTTAGTTGAATGCTTTGTAAATGCTTTATGAACGACGTATTAGATTCATTTTTCCACAATGCTGCTCAATAAACAATTCAGAGTCACAAATAAGCATATAGATTGAATAAATGCTTTATAACAGTGTAAAATGCTGAATAAAACGGGTTGTCAAATTATGTGCTCAGAAAACCTCATTGAGATAGATGATGCGCCTTTATTCCGCTGATTGCTCTGATTTGATTAATATACTTATTAAAATCTATGCAAACGATGACTGTCTTCATGATTCAACACCAGAAGTTTGATCTAATATCATACTGGATAAGTGTGTTTCCATTGATTTAATAACATGCTTTATTATACGTCTAATAATTGTTTTCTAGCTGCATTACTAGGTTCCATTGCATTGCTTCACAATATTGCTGTATAAAGGTGAATACAGTCAGCATAGTAGCTTTTATACCACTATGCGTCCATGTTGTAATCACATGATTTGTAAATGCTTTATAAACGACGTATTAGATTCATTATTCGACAACACTGCTTCAGGCTAACTTCAAAACGAAATAGGTAGCATAGTGGTTACCGTTTCCGCTTTCCAAGTAGAAGGTCGCGAGTTCAATCCCAGCCTCAACCCTTTTTTGTTTTATTTATTTTCTACGCCTAATTAATTTAAATCGTAATCATAAATCGTTTCACTCACGACAACCAATTTATAGATCTTTCGAAAAGAATAGCATCTTTTTTATCGAAATTAGAGAGATGGAGAGGTAACGTTGGTCTAATGTTAAACAACTATAAATAAATTAATCATTCTTACATCTCCTTGAATTAGCTAGAGTTACGGCTGGAAGTGCTGATAGGTTTTCAGATTCAAGCTTTTATTGCTTATTTAGCTGCTCATATGATGTAATCTAGGATAGCTCAGATGGCAAGGCAAGCGGCTGGTGATCGGCAGGTCATGGTTCGAATCCCATATAACGACATGTGTGTGTGTATGTATGTATGTAATAAATTATTGTGTGGTGGGTGGCGTGTTTCGACAGAAATAATGACACAACAATCACTAACGAGAACAAACCCCTGCTCTGTGCCGTTCTTATTTTCGGATTAATTATCCCGTAGTTGAATAATCATTTAATAAATGTATAATAGTGTCTAATTAAACATTATTTCACATGAGAACCCTAATAAAAAACAACCATAAACGAACGTTAACCCAAATCATTGAACTATTCCACAAATGGTTTGGATGATACCCAGAACACGTCGTTAAGCAAATTAACCATACCATTTTTATTAGGGAATTAAGCTTCTCGTGTACACCTTTATACCATCGCTGTTTAAGGAAGCATTGATGTCTTATAAACGCTGAAAAATTAAAAAATTGATCGAATAAGCTCTGTTACAACTCTTGTAAGTCGAATAAAAGCTTCTCGACATACCTTATTCAACACCGAATATTTTGATGTTGTGGTTGAACAAATTCTCCAGATTTGTGTGAACAAAGCCTGAACAGAAGTTATTATTGAAAATAATACAAGTATTATTAAGCATAAAGTGGAATAAAATCGTCACGAAGTCGTTTCTTCAATAGGCAATTGTTTGTTGGGTAGTAACCTCAAGTCCGTGCTCTGTAACAATGTTTCATTGTGATTAATCAACACTCAGAGGGGTAAAATATAAAATTTGGGGTAAATTTGAAAGAAAGGGAACTTGGAGTGTAGAGCGCACTGCCCACTGGACGATTCTGAAGACTGGCCAATTGAGTGGGGTATGGGTTTATTTGCTTGAACGTCATTTCCAATGTTGATACATTCAAACCATTGGCATTTGAGATAAGACAGAGATAGGATGCGGAGGACCCGCTTAGGAGGAGTGTAACCCATGTTATGGTTTCCATTTATAAAATAGTTCAGATAGGCTAGAAATGACAGGTTTATAGTGAGAGAATGTACCATATTGGGAAAGCATAATTTTCATAGGGTTCAGAGCGGCTGAGCTGTTCGTTTGTAGTTTGACTTTCATTCAAAACCAATTTGGCTCTAGAACAATTTTAAACTTGTTCTGCATTATTCACATGTTGCAATTATTGAAAAGAGCTCGATATAAGATAGCCACAGAGAACAGACGTTGAGGCTCCAAAATTTCTCTAAAAACTTGTGTAAAGATTCCTATTCGACTTAAGCGCCACTAACGGCGACTTCCCCACTTAAAAACCCTCATTGACAACAGATGGCACTGGCGTTGCAAAACTTACACTAGACACTAAGTGGTGATAGATTTTCAGCAGATAATTTATCGATACTAGCGCCTAATTGGTCGAAAGTGATAAATTTATAGAGGAAATCAGGAGATGCGCTACGTAACGGCAACGTTTCCACTTAACTCTACACAAGTTTCTGACCGAACTTGAACGTCTGGTCTCTGTGAGATAGTTTAATACAATTAAATAGAAATGCTAAAATCTTACCGAGTAGTTTAGCTGTTCTGATTTCGGTACAGTTTGTTGAGGTCGGGTATAGTTTCTGAGTATGGATGCCCATTTTTAAATAACTCATATTAGCACAGAGTAATAGTTTTATTGCTAGGGAACTTTCTTTTAGGATCGTCTTTTCTTCATACAATTCTCATTATTCATACTATATTAATCATGATCAGTCTTAGAAAATGTTATATGTTTAAGCCCCGTTCTAGATTTGTTTGTTATTCATATCTTATGCAGCTCGCGAGAGGTTACCAAATATGGGTTCTTTTTTTTCAATAATAGTTTTGGGGGAGGGGGCGATCTGAGAGCTGAATAGAGGCAAATAAAATAGGGAACACAACACCATTACCCAAACGACTAACCAACGCATGCGGCTCACACTTAACTTGTTTTATTTCTTTCATCCCTTCATGTACCAATATTACCTACCTGAGAACAAATGGGAACATGGCCAGATTTTCAATAGGAAGAAGGAAAAAAAGCGAGAAAACGTAAGAGAGTAAGTAGTCAGAAAGGATTAGGCTATTTGGAAACAGCCAATTTATACTGGACGGAACTGGTAAATTGGATAAGAATTGTAAAAGGTGTGTGCTTGCATGATTTACTTATTTGAGAATTACCCAAAAGCCACATGAGAACCTCATTTCCTTCAATTACTACTCCACTGCAACACACACCTAATAATGATCACTAACATTCATATAGTTTCAGCATTATCGACATTTATAATCAAAAGGTGAGTTGTAAAGTATAATTACCATGCATAGATATAAGTTAATGTACCAGAACCTGGACGGACACGAGCCTACCCAGGGGAGGACCCGGATACGACCACCCATGTGTGTCTAGAGTATCGCACGAGCTGACGAGTGCAACGGGAAGGACAGTAGGTGTATAGACTAGGGGGTTAGTCCCTAGATAAGCCAACTTAGCGGTTGGCACAGCCTATACACTGAACAATTACAATTACAATTACAATCACGCTACGGCATGACTCACAAATGCTCATCGTTTCATCAATTTTGTGGTTATATCCCATAGAATGTATTTTTACCATCGTTGACGATATGGCCCGTAACTTATTTCGGTTGCATCTCGGATTATTTATATTTGCACAACATTTCAATCTTTTGAGCCTTTTTTTATTTTTTTTTAACTCTTTATTTGTTCCAAATTCAAAATAAATTACATTTCATTTTAACCTAGGTGCTCCAGTTACTACAGTAACTTACCAGCCTTAATTGTTATGATATATATCTAAGTGTTTTTACATTGTTCCTGCCTTGACAATTCAGTATTTTAAACAGGTTTTTTTTAAACCTGCATGTCAGTATAACAATTGAAATCTTAAAACTAAAAACTAAAAATAAATCTTATCTAAGTATAAAGGGAATTAATCGTTGCAATTGAGGATTGCAACGATTTTTGCCTGAAAATATTAATTATTTTGTTGGACATTTGTTCTAAAGTCTCAACATTCGAAATTCTATGTACTTCGGTAGTACTGTACCAGGAAGGCAACTTCAAAATCATCTTCAGAACTTTGTTCTGAATCCTTTGAAGTGCTTTTGTTTCCTGGTAGTGCAACAACTAGACCATATTGGCACAGCGTTAAGCATGGCTGGTCTAAAAACTTGTTTAAGTAAAGTTTGGATTTTCTGTTTATAAGAGGATACAAATATTTTATATATTTGTTACATTTGGCTTGAATGCCCTCAATGTGATCTTTAAAAGTAAGTTAATTTTTGGTCAAGTATTAATCCAAGATATTTCACTTGGTTTGACCAGGAAATTGGAACACCGTTCATAGTGACTATGTGACTACTACTAGGTTTCAAAAAGGAAGCACTAGGCTTATGTAGAAATATTATAAGTTGAGTTGGGGGCGACCTCGGCGTAGTGGTTAACATCCATACCTCTCACGCCAAAGTCACGAGTTCAAATCTCACCCCCGGACAAGTCACGAATGACCCAAGAGTGTTAACTGAGTGTGAGTGACTATAATAATAAAAAAAAAAAAAAAAAAATATATATATATATATATATATATATATTTTTTTTTTCTTTTTTTTTTGTATATATAAGTTGAGTTTTGGAAGCGTTGGGAGAAATCTTCCATTTTTGTAAATAAGAAGAGAAAATATCTAAACTTTTCTGCAGTCTGCTGCAAATAACACGAAGACTTCTTCGTTTAGTGGAAATGCCTGTGTCATCAGCGAACAAAGATTTGTGGCAACCCTGAGGCAAATCAGGGAGGTCCGAAGTGAAAATGTTATACAATGTAGGCCCAAGAACGCTACCCTGAGGAACTCCTGCTCTAACAGGTAGCCGATTAGATTTGGAATTTTTATAGTTTACCTGCAGAGTTCTGTCAGTTAAATAATTTTGAACTACACTGGAGTAGCTTTTTACGCGGGTGATATGTCCCGCGTAAAAAAAACCGCGTAAAAAAAAACCGCATAAATTCCGGAATCCGTGTAAAAAAACCGCGTAAATTCCGAAATCCGCGTAAAAAAACCGCGTAAAAAAAGACCGTGTAAAAAAAACCGCGTAAAAAGCGACTCTAGTGTATAATGATATACCGCGTTAATTCTGAAATCCGCGTAAAAAAACCAAAATCCGCGTAAAAAAACCGCGTAAATTCCGAAATCCGCGTAAAACAAAACCGTTTAAATTTCGAAATCCAGGTAAAAAAAACCGCGTAAAAAGCGACTCCAGTGTAATTTCATAATATAAAGTGGAAAATTAAACTTTTTCAATTTAACAATCAAACCTTCATGCCAAACACTGTCGCAGTGATGGAAAAGTTCGCGAAAAATCACTATGACTCATGAACTTTTCCCTTGGTGAACTTCGTGAAATATCTCGAACTTTTCCAACACTGCACTGTCGAATGCTTTTTCTATGTCTAGATGAGCAACTCCAGTTGAGTGGCCTTCAGATTTGTTTGAACGAATTAAATTGTTAACTCGTAAGAGTTGATGAGTAGTTGAATACCCATGGCGAAATCCAAACTGCTCATCTGCATTCGTATTAATGTGAAGCATCATTCTATTTAAAATAATCTTTTCAAAAAGTTTACTTATTGAAGAAAGCAAACTTATTGGACGGTAGCTAGAAGCTTCAGCTGGATTTTTATCCGGCTTCAAAATTGGAACAACTTTTGCATTTTTCCATTTATTAGGAAAGTATGCCAAATGGAAACATCTGTTAAATAATTTTACCAAGAAAGACAAGGTACTCTCTGTGAGTTTTTTGATGAGGATATAAAAAATTCCATCATCACCTGGAGCTTTCATATTCTGAAACTTTTTAGTTATAGACCTTACTTCGTCCAAATCAATCCCCCAGGAATAATCAAAAATATTTTCCCGAAAGAAAATATTCAGATAATCCCGAGCAACCTGATTCTCAATAGGACTAGTAAGACCCAAACTGAAATTATGGGAACTCTCGAATTGCTTAGCAAGTTTCTGAGCTTTTTCTAAATTTGTGATCAAAATTTTACCACCTTCTTTAAGCGCTGGAATAGGCTTTTGAGGTATTTTCAAAAATTTTGTGAAGTTCCAAAAGGTTTTGGAACTCGGGTGTAATTTAGAAACATTATTTTCAAAAGTTTTGTTCCTCAGGACAGAGAATCGCTTTTTAATTTGTTTTTGCAAATCCCGCCAGATAACTTTCATGGCAGGATCGCGTGTTCTTTGATATTGTTTCCTACGGACATTTTTAAGACGGATCAATACCTTAAGATCGTAGTGTATTATAATTGAGCCGAATTTAACCTCGCATTTTGGTACTGAGGCAGCTCTTGCATCAACTATAGAAGTAGTGAGAGATTCAAGAGCATAATTAATTTCATCTTTGGTTTGCAACGGAATGTTTGGATCGAAGTTATATTCTATAAATGTTCGATATTGCTCCCAATCAGCTCTATGGTAATTGAAAGTAGAGCTGTTGGGATTATAAATTATTATCAAAAGTTACTGGAAGGTGATCAGAACAGAAGTCGTCAGCATGGGTAACCAATTGGCTACAAAGTTGACATGATTCAATTAACACCAAATCAATAGTTGAGGGATTTCTTGCAGAAGAAAAGCATGTTGGGCTGTTTGGATATTGATTAGTGTAATAACCTACAGAACAATCAACAAACAGAATATTACCATTGGAATTGCTTTAAGCATTATTCCATGAGCGGTCACCAATAATGAAGAATTTAGACCTATGACGGGTAAGTTTCTGAAGGTCACCCTTGAGAAAATTCTTTTGCTGGCCTACGCAGTGAAATGGCAAATAGGCAGCTATAAACGTAAGTTGTCCAAATTTTGATTCAACAGAAACTCCCAAAGTTTCAAAAACTTTGGTTTCAAATGAAGAAAGAATTTTATGTTTGATTCGTCTATGAACAATGATGGCAACGCCACCACAGGGTCCATCAAGACGATCATTTCTATAAATGAAATAATTTGCGTCCTTCTTAACCTTATGGTCAGATTCAAAGTGTTTTTTATGTTACTTCATACGCGAAGTTAACGATTTTCAGAGTTGGTTGGAAATGCTAACATGAAGCTTTAGTGTGATGATTTATTAGCTAGAGAATGATCTTTAGAAGAATGTAGGTGGATAGTTCCGTTAGAGTACGGCAGTATGAAAATTGAATAGAAGTTGAAAATGAGCGAAGGGCCATTAAAGCGACAGTTTTCAAGATGACGCACATTTTTGCCTAGCCCGTACGATGTACGCGGGGACCGAGTCCCCGCGTACATCGTACGGGCTAGGCAAAAATGTGCGTCATCTTGAAAACTGTCGCTTTAATGGCCCTTCGCTCATTTTCAACTTCTATTCAATTTTCATACTGCCGTACTCTAACGGAACTATCCACCTACATTCTTCTAAAGATCATTCTCTAGCTAATAAATCATCACACTAAAGCTTCATGTTAGCATTTCCAACCAACTTATGGTCAGGTTTAAGGAACGTTTCAGTTATAACGGCAATATGCACTAGACTGATGCAAAATTTGACTTTTTCGCTCCACAGTGCTTAAATGGTTTCAAATCGGGTCGTGATTAGCCTCCAAAAGTTACAACTCATTTGGTTAGAAACAGACTTCGCACAAACCATTTGAAGTTTACATGTAAATTATGATGGGAAATCTCAACTTTTTGTTCATTGCCTTCTAGTCTTTTTTCCATATTGAGCTGCAAAACAGCTCGATAGCTATTCTTATAGGAAATTCTCAGCTACAACTTTGCTGAAAATCGTTTCTATGTAAAACGAGACAGGAAATAGTTATTAATTATTTAAGAGATTGGTAAACTTATGACACGATTAAGCAGCTGCTCTGTAGGCAACACTGTATTTTGCAGTTTGACATAGTAGCCATAATTTTTGTGTCCTATTCAACGCCCCAGAAACACCAATCCCTTGAGCATGATCATAAGACATCAGTGCATTGAACCATTAATAACTTTTGATCCTTGCATTTAATCAAAAAGTGGTCTTCAGCAAAGTTGTAGTTGGGAAAATTTCCTACAAGTAAAGTTTTCTTTTTTTTCCTTTGGTCGATCTTGTTTTCCGTGCTGAGCACCAATGCTACCGACGTGCCAGGAAGGCAGCTTCCACACCTGGACCCTACCTATCGACCCATCAACTCATGAACCGGGGAGCAACGGCTTTACTTCCCATCCGAAGGAAGGCGTGATCAGAGTTGTTATGCCTCAGAACATCCCGGCGGCGCCGACTGGGATTGAACCCAGGCCTGCTGGGGTGAGAGGTAATCACGCTTACCACTACACCACCGGCGTCGTTTACAAGTAAAGTTGAAAGCTTTTGAAGCAGAACGATATGGTGAATTATTAGATAGACATGAACAAAAATCTTAGTTTTACCATAGTAATTCCATACAAACTTCAAATGATTTGTGTCATCTCAGTTTCTCACCAAATGGGTTCAAATTTTGAGAGGT